AATAGGATAGCAGATGAACAAGGAGGCTTTAGGAAAGGTAGGGGGTGTGTGGACCCGGTGGGTTACAGTGAAACATATAAGTGAACAGTATTTAGATAAGGCTAAAGAGGTCTTTGTGGCATTTATGGATTTGGAAAAGGCATATGACAGGGTGGATAGGGGGGCAATGTGGCAGATGTTGCAGGTGTATGGTGTAGGAGGTAGGTTACTGAAAGCAGTGAAGAGTTTTTACGAGGATAGTGAGGCTCAAGTTAGAGTATGCAGGAAAGAGGGAAATTATTTCCCAGTAAAAGCAGGCCTTAGACAAGGATGTGTGATGTCACCGGGTTGTTTAATATATTTATAGATGGGGTTGTAAGAGAAGTAAATGCGAGGGTCTTGGCAAGATGGCGTGGAGTTAAAAGATAAAGAATCACACATAAAGTGGGAGTTGTCACAGTTGCTCTTTGCTGATGACACTGTGCTCTTTGAGATTCTGAAGAGAAGTTGCAGAGATTGGTGGATGAATTTGGTAGGGTGTGCAAAAGAAGAAAAATTAAAAGTGAATACAGGAAAGAGTAAGGTTATGAGGATAACAAAAAGATTAGGTGATGAAAGATTGGATATCAGATTGGAGGGAGAGAGTATGGAGGAGGTGAATGTATTCAGATATTTGGGAGTGAACGTGTCAGCGGATTGGACTATGAAAAATGAGGTGAATCATAGAATTGATGAGGGGAAAAGGGTAGTGGTGCACTTAGGAGTCTGTGGAGACAAAGAACTTTGTCCTTGGAGGCAAAGAGGGGAATGTATGAGAGTATAGTTTTCCCCAACGCTCTTATATGGGTGTGAAGCATGGGTGATGAATGTTGCAGCGAGGAGAAGGCTGGAGGCAGTGGAGATGTCTGTCTGAGGGAAATGTGTGGTGTGAATATAATGCAGAGAATTCGTAGTTTGGAAGTTGGAGGAGGTGCGGGATTACCAAAATGTTGTCCAGAGGGCTGAGGAAAGGTTTTGGGTGGTTCGGACATGTAAAAAGAATGGAGCGAAACAGTGTGACTTCAAGAGTGTATCAGTTTTGTAGTGGAAGGAAGGGGGGTAGGGGTCGGCCTAGGAAAGGTTGGAGGGAGGGGGTAAAGGAGGTTTTTTTGTGCGAGGGGCTTGGACTTCCCGCAGGCATGCGTGAGCGTGTTTGATAGGAGTGAATGGAGACAAATTGTTTTTAATACTTGACGTGCTGTTGGAGGTTTTGAGCAAAGTAACATTTATGAAGGGGGGTTCAGGGAAACCGGCAGGCCGGACTTGAGTCCTGGAGATGGGAAGTACAGTGCCTTGCACTTAAAGGGAAAGGGGTTTGTTAATGTTGCAGTTTAAAAAGTGTAGTGTAAAGCACCCTTCTGGCAAGACAGTGATGGGTGAATGAGGGTTTGAAATTTTTTTCTTTTTCGGGCCACCCTGCCTTGGTGGGAATGGGGCCAGTGTGATAATAATAATAAAAAGAAAGGCTGGTTTCACGGGGATGTATTTGTTGACTACTTTTTTTGAATTCATCCCTAAAGTGTGCAAGGAATGGTTAGAGAACCAAAACCCTTGAGCCCAATTTGCATTAAGGCTTTTCTCTTAGTTGATAATATACCTGTTTTCAGTAGTGAGGTAAGATTAATGCTGTTTGTATCTATAATACCACCCCCTGATCCAAGCAATAGCCCAGGGGATTTCTGCAGCCTGCAATAGGTTGTACCAGTCCAGACACTTAAATGTATTCTAATAGGTAAGGAGGAAGATGATTTGAAAAAAAAAATATCGGGACCCATTTATGTTCAAAAACAAGATATGAACTAAAGTTGGTAATCTTCAACCTTGGGGCATTATGCAAGGAACTGAAAGGAATATTACCTAATGATTGGAAAAAACTGTTAATAATATTGATGTTGTAACTGATGGGTTGAGGCCCAGTGACGTTCACTGAAAACCTTCAGAAAGTGGGAGAAACAAATACAGTGGACCCCGCAAAACGATTACCTCCGAATGCGACCAATTATGTAAGTGTATTTATGTAAGTGCGTTGTACGTGTATGTTTGGGGGTCTGAATGGACTAATCTACTTCACAATATTTCTTATGGGAAAATTCGGTCAGTACTGGCCCCTGAACATACTTTGGAAGTGAAAAAATATCGTTAACCGGGGGTCCACTGTATTACAAAAGATGTGATGAACGATTGGAAGATGATGATGACCCTGTTACCAGAAGTTGAGTGACGAAGAACTTGTAGATGAGGCTACGGGTACTGGCTTTAAATGAAACAGGACGTGAATAAAAAAAAAAAAAAAAAAAAAAAAAAAAAAACGACACTATGGGGGTTACCAAAATAGTCAGTAGTTTGAGATGCAATTGATGTTTTTCTCACATGAAGTGAACTCTTGTAACAGCAAAGTGCAGGCCTATCATACATAACATTTAGGGAACCTGTCATAAAGCAACATCAAGGTGCCAAATAAATGAAGCTAGTTTACATACTTAAATTTATTTTTCATTCTAAGTTCAGGCAGTAAAAGCAAGAGCACATTTAGATGCTAGCCAAACATAAGACAGCAAAGAGTGCTGCAAGACCAGCTGTTTGATTTGGTGAAGGCTATGAAGAGTTTATATGGATAGTGAGGCTCAGGATAGGGTGTGTAGGAGAAAGGGAGATTACTTTCCAGTAAAAGTAGTCTTAAACAGGGATGTGTGATGACACCATGGTTAACATATTTATAGATAGGGTTGTAAAAGACATAATGCTAGGGTGTTGGGGAAGGTGTGGGAAATTAAATTATGCAGGATCAAATACAAAATGGGAGTTGACATAAATAATTTTTGCTGATGATACTGTGATTTGGGAGATTCTGAAAAGAAGTTGCAAAGGTTAGTGGACGAGTTTGGGAGTAATGTGTAAAGGAAGTTGAAAGTGAAAGTTAAGACACTTGTGCAACATCTGGTTATCTTTATTGTAGACGTTCTGCCATCCAGTGGCTTTATCAATAAAGATTCTTGGACATAATAAGAAATCAGAAGAACTATATACAAAAGCTGAGGTAATCAGTCCCTCAGCCTTGGAGGTGGTGTTTAGAGCACCGTGGTTGTAGAGATTCTGAAGCACAGGAAGGAGACTGGCGCTTTATAGGCGTCAGTGAAAGGGACGTGTAGCAGACGAGGGCATAGTCACTGGTAGGCGGGATTCCCCAGTGGAAGTAGGTCCTACCCAAATTGATGGGTTAGTTGCAGTAGCCGTTGAAGGTGATATAGTGTCCTCTGAAACAAGTGTCTTAACTTTCATTTTTGTCGGTATTGTATACCTGTCTTGCATAAGTTGAAAGTGAACATAGATAAGAGTTAAGGTTGGAGGGGAAGGAGTATGGAAGAAGTAAACATATTCAGATATTTGGGAGCGGGCATTTGACAGATGGGTATATGAAGGATGAGGTAAAACGTTTAGAATTCATGAAGAAAAAAATGTGGCGGGGTGCACTGAGGAATTTTGTGGAGACAAAGAACATTATCTATGGAGGCAAAGAATGGAATTTATGAGAGTACAGTGGTACCAACACTCTTATATGGGTGTGAAGGATGAGTTGTGAATGTTGCGTGAGGAAAGCTGGAGGCAGTGGAGATGTTTGTGTCTAAGGGAAATATGTGGCATAATTGTTATGCAGAAAATTAATAGTGTGGAAATTAGGAGGAGGTATGGGATAACTAAAAATATTATTCAGAGGGCTGAAGTGGTTTGGTCATTCAGAGAGGATGGAGCAAAACTGAACGACTTGGAGGGCGCTTTAAATCTGTAGTGGACTGAAGACGGGTTAGGGGTCATCTTATGAATGAAGGAGGATGGGGGGGGGGGTTAAAGATTTTGTGTGCAAGGGGCTTGGATATACAACAGGCATGGGTGACCATGTTAGACAGGAGTGGAAAACGAATGTTTTTAGGACTTGACGAGTGTTGAGTGTAAGCAGGGTAATATTTTGTGAAGGAATTCAGGTAAATTGGTTAACCGGACTTGAGTCCTGGTGGTGGGAAATACAGTGCCTACATTCTAAAGGAGAGGTTTGAGATATTTGCTGTTGTATCTGAATCCCTTTCTGGCAAGACAGTGATGGTGTGAATGATGGTGACAGTTTCTCTCTTTGGGGTTCGCCCTGCCTTGGTGGGAGATGGCCAGCATTTTTAAAAAAAAAGAAAAAGAAAAAACGAACTTACCACTGGACCTCTTATTTCCTACCAAAGAAGTTTTGCCCACTTGAGGACTGCAACTCAAAGGGCAGGCTTAACTTCCAGACAAACATAAATGAGAGTATATGGGTCACTGAATAAACAGAGTATATAAGGGTCACAAGACAGTGCTTAGTTCAGGCTCAGTACATTGTAGCTGCCCTAGGAAATTGAAGCTAATGCACCAAGGCCAGAAGAGCAGACTATATTCCCTCTCCACTCACATATGGGACATAAAGGAATTACCAAACTGAGGGAGGAGAAAGATGGGTGCTGTTTGCTGTATTTTCAAGTCAGAATTACATTCACTTGTAAGTTATTCACTCCTGAAAAAGAAACCATTTCTTTTTAGTTTGATCCAAATTTTGATAAAAATGGGCCTAAAATGATACACAACTTTTCATACTTAGTCAATTTTTAAAATTTTTATTCTCATATACATGTTTACCCAAAAGGTTTTACAAAACATTTTTGAAAAAATAATTTTGATCTTAAAGTTATGACTATTCATTTTAAAAATTTACATATTGGTAAAGATGTAATTTTTATGTTTATATGTTTACCAAATAGTTGCTCTAAAGACTATATACAGTAACAGTAACTCTTTAAAAAAAATTGTATCATTTTTACAAAATTATACACATATAATTCCAGGCCAAATTTATTTCAAGAATAATACAGCAATGAATTTAGACTGGAATGAATAGTGTTTTTTAGATGCTTAAGACGTTCTTTGATTACATGATATGGTTCCAAGTACATGAGGACAGATATATTATTTCTTCATGGGCAGCTGAGGAAGAGTGCCCATGAGCTTGCAAATGATGGCCAGCATTACTTCATCCGTTCCACCACCAATGGAAACCAATCGCAGGTCACGGTAAAACCGACTCACAAGAACCTGTCAATGATAGCAGTAAAATATATTTAATTCCAAAATCCTGCCAAAAACAACCAAGACTGTACCGCTATAAAAGGGCAAACCTCATACAAACTCCATTACATACAGTATCTGTGTCCTGGTCAAAATTAATTTGGTCAACAATCAAAACAGGATTCATTAACATGATACATACTAAACAGTATTTTAATTATTTTATTAGAATAACCAACATTAAAAAGTTAGAAATAGCACAAATGCATTTATTCTAGTTTGAGACTTCCGTCAATTATTGTAGTACATGAAAGCTAGCAAGAAAATCTAAGTATTCATTCAGGAAAGTGTTCAGAAATTATCAGAATATTTATTTAAATTATTCAGATTTTTCTTGTTTTCCAAAGTATTAAACTCAGAGAGTTCATTCAGCAAGACACAGAATGGAGAGTGCATAAGTCAGAATTTTAGACAAAGAGAAATCAGTTATTTTTCAGGAAGCAATTAAGTACCCAGAAAAAACTGGTTTCCAAACATTATTATTATTATTATTATAATCAAAAAGAAGCGCTAAGGCACAAGGGCTATACAGCGCTGCAGGGTAGGGAAGGAAGCGAGGGTATTGGGCGGTAGAAGGGGGGAGAGATGATCAGTAGGTTACAGAAAACAGCGGGGCAGGGGATAGCGCGGGGTAAGAGGGCAGCAAGAGATTGAGGTAGAAAGGGCTGAAGGTATCATCAGAGTTTGTGAAGTAAGTCAGTTGTTGTCAAAAAGTCAATGAGAGAGTCCGGATGAAAGGTGGGTCCATGAGCGAGAAGGGAAGGTAAAGAGAGAGCAGCGGAGCGAAGACGACGTTGGAGGTATATTCTGCGTGCTCGTTGATAAAGTAGGCAGTCTAACAGAATGTGGCTAAAATGATAATGGAACCCGACAATTTCACAGAGAGGAGCAGGGCACCTCTCCATGAGATAACCATGAGTTTAAGGGCGAGTAAAGGCCCAATGCGAAGACGGGGGGGAGAGTAGTCTCCTAACCTCGACACTGGTGACAAGAAGATGGTCGGTAACCTATACTCGGTTTAATAGATTGAAGTTTGTTACCGAGCAGAGTAAAACCAACGTTGTTACCAACGGGTGTGAAGGTGGGTAGCTATTGCAGCAAAATAGTCGTAAATGGAACACTCTATATGAAACTGGCAGGTCATTTCATGCTGACGTGCAGCAGTGCTGCCTGTTTATTGCCCTGTATGTCAAAATGACCAGGGACACAACAAAAAACAATATCTTTATGCTTGGAAGAGATGCGGCATAGCCAAAGTTGGATACGGAGTACTAAGGGGGTGAGGTGTATCAAATTTTGTATAGCCCGTAAAGCACTAAGAGTGTCTGAGACAACCACAAATGATGACACAGGCATAGATGCAATACGGATAAGTGCTGCAAGAATGGCATTTCAATTCAGCAGTTTAAAATACTAGCCGAAGATAGTAAATGCCCTCGTACGACGCTGTCCGGAAACACTGCTGCGAATCCTACGCCGTCAGAAGACTTGGAGCCAAACTGTGTACACTGCAAAAGGCATGGAATGAGGTGGAAGTGGTCAAGGAAAAGAGAGAGGGAAGCTACCCTAGACAGTTGGGCTTTCAAGCAAGGGAGTGAGAAAGAACAGACTCGAACAGCTGGAACTTCCCAGGGGGGTAGATGCTACATGAACATAGAAAGGTGGTAACTGAAGAGAAGACAAGAGCGAATGTAGGCAAAGGGAGAAGGGACGGAGCAAACAGGGGCGGCGAACAAATAAAGAATGTCTACTAATATCGGTGACCATTCTATAAATGGAAGGATTACAGAGATCATGAGAGCATACATAGTAGCAAAGGCAATGGGCATCATGGCGATCAGATAAGGATGGAACGTTTGCTTCTGCATAGAGGCTCTCAACAGGGGAAGAGCGAAAAGCACCAAGTCATAAACATAATCCTTGGTGATGAATGGGGTTAAGGCTAGAGAGAGTAGCAGGAGAGGCCGCTGAATAGATCTGGTCACCATAATCAAGTTTCGATAAAATGAGGGCGGAATGTAGGCGAAGGAGGGGTTCGACGTCAGCTCCCATGAAAGGGGAGCAAGGGTTTTCAGAAGGGTCAGCCGGCTGTGACAAGTTGCCTTCAGAGAGGTAATGTGAGGTTTCCAGGATAACCTATGGTCAAAGAGGAGACCTAGAAACCTGACAGTATCACTTTCAGGGATATGGGAGCCATAGAGGTACAAAGGATGACTGGGATGACAGAGCATTAGTGAAAGTTTAATTTGGCGAGTTTTGGTACTGGAAAATTTAAACCCCTGTGTGGTGGCCCAATTGGAAACACAGTCGACCCCATGTTGGAGAGAAAACTGTAAAAGAGGGACAGTCAGTGCCTGCACATGCAATAGAGAAGTCATCAACTAGAGTGATGACCAAATATTGGATGGAAGACTAGAGGCCAAATCATTTATAGCAAAGAGGAAAAAAATGTTGTGCTCAGAAACACATCCCTGGGGGACACCTTTCAGCTTGGATTTAAAATCCGAGGAGAGTACATTATTAACCCGAACACAGAAATGTCTGTCAGTTAAAAAGTTCTTAAGGAAGGATGGCAGGGTTGCCTCGAAGGCTAAAGAGTGGGCTTGGGCCAAATATTATACCTCCCAAATTGTGTCACATGCCTTCTCAAGGTCAAAAAATATGGCAATAAATGAGTGGTTATCGCAAAGGCATTACGAGCATACGTATCCAAGCGTAGGGAAGGGGGGCTATGGTTAGAACGGCCCTTACGAGAGCGATATTGATGAGTGGAGAGACTGTTGTGTGTCTCTAAATTTCCACACTAAAAAGTCCTTTTTTACCGGGCGTTCCATCACTTTGCAAACTGCACTGGTAAGAGCAATGGGACGATAGTGGGAGGCTTCATGTCCCGTAGTACCCGGTTTGCGGGAAAGGGAGAACAAAGGCAGATTTTCCCCAGCTTGTGGAAGAACTTCCCGTGACCAAATAAGATTGAAAAGGCATAATAGGGGCTGCAAGGGCTGAGATGTAAAAGTTGTAGCAAACGAATATGAATGTCGTCGGGCCCAGCTGCCGATGTCGGCAAGCTGAGAGTGTTGCCTCCAGTTCCTGAAGTGTAAAAGACACATTATACTGTTCATCTCTGAGAGAAGAAAAGTTCCAAGGGTGCTAACTCTCTGGCAGACTTTGAGGAAAGAAATGAGGGGCACAGATGGAGCCCCAGAGAAATATGGACCAGATGATTGCCAATTTCATTGGCAAAAATCTAGTGGGTTTGCTATATCAACACCGGCAACCGTAGAACAGGAGCGGGTCAGGAGAATATTTACGCTCAGTTTTCATACTTTCTTCCAGACTGCACTCATAGAGGAAGCAGAGGTGATGGTGGAGACAATCTCGCCAGCAAGTGCGTTTAGCGTCACGGATGACACGGGGAGCGATCACACGGGTTCTGCTTAAATTCAAGAAAATCTTTTCCGTGGTTCTATTGTACGGTACCCGCCCACGCAGCACGTTTTCAAATGTATTGCCCCGAGCACAAGCAGGAGACCACCAAGGCACGCATTTCTGAGAATGCCTGCCTGAAGTTTGGGGTATAGAATGAGAAGCTGCGGTTTTAAAACAGAGGGGCAAGAAGAGGTGTAAAAGCTCATCAATGGAGGACGAAGAAGGAACCTCACTAAAAACAAATTAGTTGTGAGTAAAAAGGTTCCAATTTGCCTGATCAAATTGCCAGCGTGGGTTACGAGAGGTGGGAATATGAAGGGGAAGTAAGGAATGATTGGGAAATGATCACTGTCATGTAAATCTGGGAGAAAGACCAGGTGAAATCTAATGTGGCAGAGGAAGAGCAGATGAGAGGGTCAATTTCAAAAGTGAGAGTATGGTCCGAGGATCAAAAAGGGTGTGAGTACCTGTATTAAAACATGGAGGGGGTGGGTAGCAAGAAAAGCCTCTAACTGAACGCCACGGGAATCACAGTGAGACCCCCAAGAGGAAATGATGGGCATTAAAATCGCCAAGTAACAGAAGTGATGGCGGTAATGATGAAACAAGAAAGGCAATATCTGGGATAGATAATGCCCGAGAAGGAGAGAGATACAAAGAACAGTATGTATACCACCTATGCAAGTGGATACGAGCTGCTGTGTAATGCAACAAAGTACGAACAAATAGCTGATGGTACGGAATATCAGTGCGTAGAAGAAGGGCACTTTCATTAAAGGTCCCATCAGGAAAAGGATCTGAAGAATACAATAAATTATTAGCCAGAGATAGAATTTGATAACGGCAGAGTGTAATTTTGGTTCCTGTAAGCAAACACCAACAGGGGGAAAGCTGGAGAGCAACATCTGAAGCTCACTCCGATTACCCCTGAGGCCACGAATATTCCACTGTAAATAGGCCATGATTGGCAACGATAAAGATACCTGTAATCCACAGGTAAGGGTACCTACGGACTAGATGGGTTAGAAAAGTCCACATGCAGTGGCAAAGGAAAACGTTCAGTAGCGAAGGAATGGTGCGTTGTGAAGAAAGGAGTTGCGCAGATGGAGAAGAGGAAAGAGAAGTAACAGAGGGTGGATCAGTGTCCACTGATGGTTTGGTCTCTGCAATATATTCAGAGATTGCTTCAAGTGTTTTGAAGTTCAGAGATGTCGTATGGGAGACAATATTGGAGATGGAAGGAGGAGGAGTTTGAATAAAGATCTGAGCTGTAATGGGCTGTACCAAGGTGGGGGGGGGGGCAAAAGGGTGGAGGGAACTGGAGAAGTGTGGGAGGAGAGAGAAGAGGCAGAAACCTGGGAGGTGGCAGAAGAGGAGGAAACTTGGGAGGGGACAGGGGAGGAAGGCACCAGTATGAGGAGGAGGATAAAAACCTTTCACACTTGTAAAAAGAGCCAGTGAAAGGGGAAGACCCAGGTACAGAGACCGGGAAAGGGAAAATGTGGAGGTGGATGAAGGGAAAGAGGGGTTAAAGGAGATTTTTTTTGACCCCTGAGAAGTAGAGGGACGATTGGGAGAAGGTGTCATATGAGGTCTTGGCGATACCCGGGGTTTGTGAGAGAGAGGACATGAAGAAGTGAGGACAGAATGAGGAGTTGAAGTAGGGACGTCTGAGCCCCGGACAGCAAAAGAATTAGATACAGGAGTGACTATGGGACTGGCAACCGCAGAGGAGGCTGCAGAAGATGTGACCCCAGAAGTGGGAGGACGCTTTGAAACACGAGAATAAGAAAAAACGGGGGCAGTCTCCCCTTTGGGGGCGGAGATGAGGAAACCGCCATAGCATAAGGGGACCTTCTGCCTCTTTGAGGCAACGAATTTCCCGCTCATTTAAGTAGACTTGGCAATTTGGGGAGAGTACGAAGGGTGAGCCTCATGACAATTAAGGCAAGAGGGAGTTTGACTGCAAGACATATTAGAATGGTCATCGGCACCACAGACCGGGCATTCGGCTATAGATCTGCAATATTTTGCTGGGTGGCCAAATCGCCAGCAATTCCTACACTGTTGCGGTGTAGGGATCACTTCCGAACTTGTAACTGATGTCCTGCTACATAAACAGAGGATGAGAGTTCACAGCTATCAAAAGTTAAACGAGCCACATTGCAAGGGTATCGTCTTCGCCCGCTGGCAGGAAGAACAAAAGTGTCTACCTTGAGAACTGGGAGATCTTGGAGTTCCAGCTGTTCGGGAATGTCAGTGCCACATGTCTGGAAATTCTGTTGGACTATGGTATGGGGCAGAATAACAGTACCACTACAAGAATTGAAGGAATGATGCTTTTTGATAGTGATAGGAATAGTATCGATATGTGAAAGAAGAGAAAGATCATGAGCCTGGGTAGAATTCTGGACTGTGATGATGCGCGTACCACTCTTAAGAGCATGAAAGGAAATATCTCTACCAACGTGGCATAGGAGCGCTTTGTCAACACTATGGTCGGAAAGATAGGCAGTAGAAGAAGTCGGTCTTAATGTAAAGAATTTAGTCCATTGTGTGGTCCGAAACTGAGTGTGGAGAGGGAGTGCATGATGTGTTGGTCTTTTCTGAGTAGAATGGGAAGGTAACAAAAGTAACATCATTAGGAGATTGCCGTTGACGTTTAGAAGCGGGACCAGAGTCGGTCCGACGTGGGATGGGCTGACGATTCGAAAATCGCCGTACCATAGAGGGAGAAGCCGGAAGCATAGTCAAAGGAGAGCGGAGGTCAGACAAATTGAAGGAGTCAGTGGAAGCCCCGGTACCTGAAGCGGGCGAGGAAACAGCACCAGCAAGAGGTACAGGGGCCTTAGGAATGTCCGAAGAGTGGCCAAAAGACTAAGTGAGGTCAGAACGGGGTGCGGATACAATAAGGGGCCCAGGGGTAGCGGGGTCATGGATTGGGTACTCCATGGTTAGGTTACTTCTTTCTTTTTGTTTCTAAGAAAAAAAAGAAAGAAGAAACGAAAATAAAAATAAAAAAAGAATAAAAAAAAGGGGGGACTGGGGAGGGATAGTTCCTAGGAGGAATGAAAGGGCCAGAAATCTCCCTCCGCGCCCAAGAGGACCTCAGCACCACAAGTAGCGCAGGTGCAGCATGGAACCTGTGCCATACCCTGCCCATCATGCCAGGAAACCAGCAATCCGGGATAGCAACCTCACATCTGCCGAACTACCTCGGTGGACAAAAGAGAGGGTGGCCGGATATCAGCCACAAAGCATACCTCCTTTGGCCAACACCCCCGGAATCCGAAAGGTGGCTTCCAGAGATACACCCGTCGCCCGAAAGACACCCAAAGCTACCCTCCGGGATATCGGAGAGGGATTGGGACATCCCCAGGCAATCCAGATTCCATGGCAAACTATGCCACCGCCAAGAACCTCAACGGAATGGGATGAACCCCAGTACCCTTTCCCCTACCTAGGAACTAGCGTGCCTTTGGGAAAAAATCCCAAAGGCCAAAAAGGAAGGGCAAAAGGGAGGGGTGGGGAGGAGGAGGAGGAAAGGAAAAAGGGGAGGATGGGATAGGGAAGGGGGGATCAGGGGGTAATTGGGTTTGGTCTGAGGAAGGAGACCGACAGGTCTAATTCCTCAGACCAAGAGCCTCTTCACTACGCCAAGGAGCCCCCCATGAAGAGGTTTCCAAACATTACATTTCAGAATTCCTATTACATAAAACATTATTGACATGGTCATGAACAAGTTATAATTTGATAAGTCATATTACAGAAATCCTCTCTACTATGTACTCAAAAATTTCTTATTTCTAGTGGGCTGGTGATGGGCTTTTGAACTAATGAATTGGAGCTACCATCCCCTTTCTTGAATCAAGCCTGATTACCTCCCATTTCCCCAGGAGCTCTATAAGCCCTTACAGGTTTAGCACTTCCCATGAATATAATAATATTTTTAGAGGGGAGTCGGGTGTATTAAGTTTCAATTCAAGGAGAGACAAAACTGACTTCGGTTCCTTTGATCAAAAGTTTTTACAATTACAAATCTCTCCTCCCCTCCCTCCCCCTCACCACTTTATGGAGAGAAATGGACTGAAAAATTGAAAGTACAGTATATACAGCAGGATGAAAATTTTTGGAAAGTGATGAGTATGTATGAGAAATGTCAGAATTTTGAATCTCAGAAGAAAAGGGTTTAGGGCCAAGGAATGGTATCTTATATATTATGCTCAACTATATAGTTTTGTATGTGATATTCAGAAGAAAAAAAATAAGGACTACTCTTTCAATAAGCCTTTAATGGTCTAATGGGAGCAAACCTCAAGAGATACAGGAGTGGTTCAAATGAAATCACTGCATAGGTAGACAAATTAATTCTTAAATTGAGACATATTACCTCATTTGTGAATCCCATGCCACCCCAGAACTGAAGGCAAGAGTCAGTAACTTCTCTTCCTAAGCGACCAGCTTTTAGTTTACACATTGAAGCCAATTTTGTCACGTCATCACCAGCTACATACAAATCTGAAAGAAATTAGAAATAATGTATCTAGATATTGTCTAAAAAAATTGCTGGATATGTTATGTGTAAGGTGTTGAGCATGGTTAGGTATTTAGTACATAAAGTATACAGTAGAGCTCCATTTATATGGCAGGTTAGGTTCCAGGCTACCGCCGGAAAGCAGAACATAATTTTTTCCACTTTTTTACACCTTACATTGTGTATACAAGTTGTCTCCACATTGGTACAGTACAATAAATAAAGAGCAACACTCCCATTCTCATGTAACACATCATTTTTAGAAGGAATGACACTGAGTGAAGGCATAAAAAAGGAATAATTTTCTAGTTTCCCCTAGTAATACGTACTATTGTGTACGTATTTTCTTTGGTGTTGAACTAGAGAAAATGTTATTCTTTCCAGCAACACGACTGGAAAAACATCTCATATTTATATTAATTTATTCTACTGTGAACATAAGAACATAAAAAAGAAGGAACACTGCAACAGGCCTACTGACCTATGCGAGGCAGGTCCAATTTTCCCTCCGGCTTAAGCCAATGCCTTGACCTAGTCATTTCAGTCATGTCACTTAAGGGAGGAGCACAGCATCCGACCTAGTAGCACAAGCTAGTCAGGTCCAACTCACACCCACCCACACCCACTCATGTATTTATCCAACCTACTTTTAAAACTGCACATCTTAGCTACTATGCCAGTACTCAGGAGTTTGTTCCACTCATCCACAACTCTATTACCAAACCAGTGCTTTCCTACATCCTTTCTGAGTCTGAATCTGTGGGGTGTATTTATCATGTTCATATGTTATGTAGCATGTTTATTATATAATTTTGAAAAAAATATTGTACATGGATTCATGAAAATACAGTGGAGCCTTGGTTTCTGTCTTTAATTCATTTCAGAAAGTCTGACGAAAACCGAATTCGACGAAAACTGAAGCAAAATTTCCCATAACAAATAAAGTAAATCCAATTAATCTGTTCCAGACACCCAAAAGTATTAACAAAAATACATATTAAGAGAATAACTATAGTTTTACAAACAGAAAACAATTAGAAATAAATACATGTACAGTGGACCCTGGACTTACGAAGGGCTCACCTTACGATAAAATCAACTTACGAAGCTTTTCAGCGTAAAAATTTTACCCCCACCTACGTAAAACTCGACTTACATCATTCGTCCATACGTGCCTTTCGTCCATCTGGCCTGAGCGCGCCTCAGCTAGTCTGCCTTCAGTTAGTGTGCCAATCTTTACAAGCCAGTGTGGTCAGTTCCACACATACATTTGGTACATTTTGTATTATTCCAGTGTTTTTAGTGCTTGTAACTGCTAAATAAGCCACCATGGCCAAAAGAAAGCTCTAGTGCCAACCCTGGGCGTAAAAAGGGTAAAATTACTATAGAAATGAAGGAGATAATTTTAGGAGGGGGGGCAGGAGGGAAAAAGGGGTTGATTGGTGGGAAAGAAGAAGTAAAGGGTGTGAATAAAAGAGAAAAAAAGGGAGCTTACGAGAGGTTTTACAAAGCAGAAGTGTTTATAAGAAGAGCAGAGTATATGGAGAGTAAAAGAAAGGTGAAGAGAGTGGTGAGAGAGTGCAAAAGGAGAGCAGATGAAAGAGTGGGAGAGGCACTGTCAAGAAATTTTAATGAAAATAAGAAAAAATTTTGGAGGAGTTAAACAAGTTAAGAAAGCCTAGGGAAAGTATGGATTTGTCATTAAAAACAGAGTAGGGAGTTAGTAGATGGGGAGAGGGGGTATTAGGTAGTTTGCAAGAATATTTGAGGAACTTTTAAATGTTAAGGAAGAAAGGAGGGGGAAATTTCATGCACTGGCCAGGGGGGGAAATACCATCTTTTAGGAGTGAAGAAGAGCAGAATGTAAGTGTGGGAGGTACGTGAGGCATTACGTAGAATGAAAGGGGGTAAAAGCAGCTGGAACTGATGGGATCATGACAGAAATGTTAAAAGCAGGGGGGATATAGTGTTGGAAAGGGGTTGGTACTTTTGTTTAATAAATGTATGAAAGGGGGGAAGGTACCTAGGATTGGCGGAGAGCATGTATAGTCCCTTTATAAAAGGGAAAAGGGGACAAAAAAGATTGTAAAAATATAGAGGAATAATTTACTGAGTTTTACCAGGAAAAGTAAACGTTAGGGTTATAATTGAAAGAATTAGAGGTAAGACAGAATGTAGGATTGCGGATGAGCAGGGGGGCTTCAGAGTGGGTAGGGGATGTGTAGATCAAGTGTTTTCATTGAAGCATAAAATGTGAACAGTTTTTTAGATAAAGGTAGGGACGTTTTTATTGCATTTATGGATTTAGAAAAGGCATATGATAGAGTGGATAGAGGAGCAATGTTTGGGAGATGTTGCAAATATATGGAATAGGTGGTAAGTTACTAAATGCTGTAAAGAGTTTTTATGAGGATAGTGAGGCTCAGGTTAGGGTGTGTAGAAGAGAGGGAGAATACTTCCCGGTAAAAGTAGGTCTTAGACAGGGATGTGTAATGTCACCATGGTTGTTTAATATATTTATAGATGGGGTTGTAAAAGAAGTAAATGCTAGGGTGTTCGGGAGAGGGGTGGGATTAAATTATGGGGAATCAAATTCAAAATGGGAATTGACACAGTTACTTTTTGCTGATGATACTGTGCTTATGGGAGATTCTAAAGAAAAATTGCAAAGGTTAGTGGATGAGTTTGAGAATGTGTGTAAAGGTAGAAAGTTGAAAGTGAACATAGAAAAGAGTAAGGTGATGAGGGTATCAAATGATTTAGATAAAGAAAAATTGGATATCAAATTGGGGAGGAGGAGTATGGAAGAAGTGAATGTTTTCAGATACTTGGGAGTTGACGTGTCGGCGGATGGATTTATGAAGGATGAGGTTAATCATAGAAATGATGAGGGAAAAAAGGTGAGTGGTGCGTTGAGGTATATGTGGAGTCAAAAAACGTTATCTATGGAGGCAAAGAAGGGAATGTATGAAAGTATAGTAGTACCAACACTCTTATATGGATGTGAAGCTTGGGTGGTAAATGCAGCAGCGAGGAGACGGTTGGAGGCAGTGGAGATGTCCTGTCTAAGGGCAATGTGTGGTGTAAATATTATGCAGAAAATTCGGAGTGTGGAAATTAGGAGAAGGTGTGGAGTTAATAAAAGCATTAGTCAGAGGGCAGAAGAGGGGTTGTTGAGGTGGTATGGTCATTTAGAGAGAATGGATCAAAGTAGAATGACATAGAAAGCATATAAATCTATAGGGGAAGGAAGGAGGGGTAGGGGTCGTCCTCGAAAGGGTTGGAAAGAGGGGGTAAAGGAGGTTTTGTGGGCTAGGGGCTTGGACTTCCAGCAAGCGTGCATGAGCGTATTAGATAGGAGTGAATGGAGGCTAATGATACTTGGGACCTGACGATCTGTTGGAGTGTGAGCAGGGTAATATTTAGTGAAGGGATTCAGGGAAACCGGTTATTTTCATATAGTCGGACTTGAGTCCTGGAAATGTGAAGTACAATGCCTGCACTTTAAAGGAGGGGTTTGGGATATTGGCAGTTTGGAGGGATATGTTGTGTATCTTTATACGTATATGCTTCTGAACTGTTGTATTCTGAGCACCTCTGCAAAAGCAGTGATAATGTGTGAGTGTGGTGAAAGTGTTGAATGATGATGAAAGTATTTTCTTTTTGGGGATTTTCTTTCTTTTTTGGGTCACCCTGCCTCGGTGGGAGACGGCCGACTTGTTGAAAAAAAAAAAAAAAAAAAACTCTTTCAGGGTTTCTGACGTACTAGTATGGCTTACGCACCAAGGTTATTGACGTACTAGCACGCGTAAATTCTAGCGCCTTCAAATCTAGTGAGAGAAAGCTGGTAGGCCTATATATGAAAGAATGGGTCTATGTGGCCAGTGTGCACAGTATAAAAAAAATCCTGCAGCACACAGTGCATAATGAGAAAAAAAAAATTTGACCATGTTCTTGGTTCAAAACAGCGACTTTGCACTGTATTTTTGTATGGTATTTATGGTTGTATTCTAGTTTCCTGGTCTCATTTTATAGAATGGAAGACATATTACAGAAATTGAGATGATTTTGATTGGTTTCACAATGAAAAGTACCTTGAAACTGAGCTCAAAGTAGCAGAAATGTTTGATGTTTGCCAAAGTTCAAAAGTAAACAAATCATGCCACACGTCCAATACATATCAACTGGTGAGTCTAATATTCTTTCACAAATGCGCTGATATTATTTATATCATTTCTACGCTAATGCAGTAGTTTGTATAACAGTAAATCTTTTATTTTTTGTGAGAATAAAAATTCAAAGTGGAAAGCAAAAGAAATGTAAGAGCGGCCTGGGGACATGACTAATGAACAGAGGAAATGTTATTTTTGTGCCAGGAATGTCTGTCTTGTTTATTCTGAACCGTATTTGGAAATTGGCATCTTTTGAAATTTGTGTGAAATTGGCAAAATTGCTAATTCTGATCACTTTATTGGATAGTTGAAATTGACAAATGGGTGGCTTCTTGTACTCATTCGATAGAAAAAATGGAGTTCTAGTGAAATAATTATGATTTTTGTCAACTAGTACACTGGAATTGGCTGAAAATAGGGCACAAAGTGGACGAAATTGCCGCTGCATAAACATTGTCGAGACCGCTAACTTCACAAGAGCATAATTCCGTAAGTTTTCCATCAAATTTCATACTTTTGGTGTCATTATGATTGGGAAAGATTCTCTAACTTTTCGTAAGATATTTTTTTTTTTTCTGAAAAATTTTTGACTGAGAACAAGTTTAGGAGAGGGCCTCTCGACCCTGAAAAGGTTAATAAATATGAAAGTGGAGTGCGTGCCTCTGAACTGGCCAGGTTGTACAACAAACCCCAGTCAACCATCGCTACTATCCTGGCCAACAAAAAGGCAATCAAGGAAGCTGTTGTTGCGAAAGGTGAAAGTATCTTTTTGAAACACAGATCGCAAGTACTCGAAGGTGTTGAGAGACTGT